CAGCCCCCGGTGGCTACTGGCGCTGGGCGCCCCATTTCCTTCCCTTCCCTCGGTTGGTGGATCCCGTGTGGTTTCTGGGAGGTTTTAAAAGGTGCGCAGTGCTGCTGTGTGTGTGCTAGAAAGGCGAACTGGCGTATTTCGCTGTTTATGTGGAAGAGAAGGGCAGTGATGAGCCTTGCTTACTGTCAAGAAAGATCAGGAGAGCTGTTCTTATGAACAAACTTGCAAAAGCGGGTGTTTGGGTTGTTTGGGCAGGGTTCCTGTTATGTTTATCCCAATGTGATCTTCTTAAATGTGTTGTGCCAAATCATGAGGTACCCTGAAGATTTCTCATTGCTGGGGAAGGCATTAGAGAGCAGGTGGCAGGATCAGTGATTTCGCAGTTCCGAAGGAGATTGTCACTGTCCTAGAGGAAGGGCTGAAATAATTACATCTGTTACAAGTGTTGTGAAGATCATCAAGGAAGGAAATATTGCCCATTCAGTTTAATTAGAGGCTGGGATCTAGAAGAGGTTGCATAAACTTTTGGACACCCTTTTCTGCCACTCATTTCCTCATAAAAAAAAAGCATTACTGTTAATTCTGCAGGGATAAAGTGCCATGCAAGATGACAGTAGCCAAGTCTGTATTGGGGTTGTGCTTTGCCATGTTTTTTGCCTGAAACTCCCCTGGCTTCAATAACGTGGGTTTTTTCTGCCTCTGTAGGCTGGTTGGACTCCCTTGCACATTGCTGCTTCGGCGGGCCGGGACGAGATTGTGAAAGCCCTCATTGCCAGGGGGGCTCAGGTCAATGCTGCCAACCAGAACGGCTGCACACCCCTGCATTATGCTGCTTCCAAAAACAAGCAGGAGGTGAGTCTGCCTGTGCTCCTGGGGGTGCTGTTGCTCGTGCCAAGAAGAGTTTAGTTAACTGTTCTTCCCCCTTTCTTGTTCTGCATATTCAGATTGCAGTCATGCTTCTAGAGAATGGAGCTGATCCGGATGCAACGGATCATTTTAAATCCACCCCATTACACAGAGCAGCAGCCAAAGGAAACCTAAAAATGGTACAGATCCTTCTGCAGCACAAGGCATCTGTTGATATACAGGACTCTGAAGGGAATACTCCTCTGTAAGTAATTTTTTTATTTTTATTTTGCTTAATATAGTATCGTGGCTATGAAATGAAATTCCATTACTTCAGGTGTGTTTTTTTTAATTTCCTTTGCCTCAGAGTAGTCCCTTGCTTCACACCCCTGTGTAATTAAAATGGATTTGAGAAAGTCATACTTAGTGTTTTGTCTAAGTGTGTCTGTATATACATACTTCAATTTGTGTTACTATGTCTACTTTAAATGTGTAGAACACTTTCTGTAGTTATTTGGAAGATGTTTAGTTGCCACTAGAGGGTGGAAAGTGAGCTAATGACATCAAAGTCAGAGGAAACTTGTCTTGCAGGCTGGCCTGCTCTGTTCTGCCAAGCAAAAACTAATTTTGGAAGCTTTTTCTTCACTTCTCTAAGGAAAATAAGTTGCAATTTAAGTACAAGCAGTCTGGTGTTTGATACTACTTTAGAGATCAGTTGAATCTGTAAAGTAAAACCTTAGATGCTCTGAAGTTGGTGGTAGAACTGTGCCTTGTCAACAGTGGAATCAAGATTGTGCCCTGAATACAATCAAGCACTATGTTTTAGCTATGCATAAAACCCAGGATTGTCCTGGGACACACACATTTATCCTCAAGTCACTGTGTCAAATGGAAAAAAGCATTTACTGCGTTTGCTGTAACTCTTAATTTTATTTTTAGCATCATACTGTTTGGTTTATCACTCTCTAAATAGAGATTTCAGTTTTCCAACTTCACTGTGGCGTATGTGCTCCTTACTGTTTGCTGACTGCAGAACCAAATCCTAACCTAATGAAGTGTCTTAAAGTTGCAAGGACAGTAGCAGGAGGAACATTCTTGGGTTGCTTAATGACAACAGACTAGACAGTAAGCTTTGGAATCTGCAGGTGGTTTGTTGCATGTGGTTTTGTTGTTCTAGGATGTGTCTCTCCTCCCCAGCATTCACACTGTCATTTTGACAAGGCATAATTATTGCTTGTTTATAAGCTTGGACTGTTTAATAGTGGCCGTGGGTTTCTTGTTCTTATTACAGTCATTTAGCCTGCGATGAAGAGAGAGTGGAGGAGGCAAAGCTGCTGGTGTCTCACGGGGCAAGTATTCACATTGAGAATAAAGAAGAACTGACTCCACTGAAAGTGGCAAAAGGTGGCCTGGGAGCCATACTTAAAAGAATGGTGGAAGGCTAGTGGGGACTCTGACTCGACTCTTCCCTGTTGCACTTGTGTTTAAGACTGCAAAGTTCCTATTTTGATAGTTCATCTAGGGTATCGTGTATGGCTGTCAGCATGGTAATAAAATTTGTATCTCTAGGTTTCCTTCAAGTACAGTGCCAAAACAACTGTTTGTACTTCCTGTTAATTAAACAGTTCACTGATTTTGAAGTCTTTTTCAATATCTTGCAACTTTCTTTCAGTTTACAGTATGATCTGTATAAATGCAGTTGTTCCCTCTGTTTCAGAACCTAGTTTAGGATTGTTTCGTTCAAGAGCAACAGGACCAAAAATGCTTTAACCAGATAAAGTCAGTTTTCTTTTGGAAGCTCATTCTAGAGTCTTTGTTTTTTCCCTTAGCCTTTGTGATTTGTATGTGTTTTTTAACATTTGTTTTCTTGTGGGTATGGATTCTCATCCTTCAGGTGATTCTAAACTACACCTCTGTTTGTAGAAAGCTGTTTGCTCAGTTGCTTAGATAATTTTATCCATTATTTCTCTTCTTAGACTATTCAAGTGAGCTCTAAATGTTCAGAACTTTTCTGTTGTTATTTGTTGTTATCCTGTTTCTTTGAATATTTAAATACATGTATTTTATGAAGTGCACTAGACCACTTGCAGAATGTAGATGCTGTTCAGGGTTACCTCTGCAAATACACCATTATGTGATGGGTGCCTCTGGGTACTTCTCTGGGATGTACTTTGGCTCTGATTTTACTTCCTCTTGCTCCTGAGCTGGATTTCTTTTGTTGTTCTGTTTGACTCCCATTGTGTAGAACTGATACTTGCTGTTTCTGTTTACCACCTTATTTTATAACAGCAGCCTGGTTTAATCTCTATTTACTCATGGCATATCCTGGTATTAAGTAGTTAGAAGGTAGAGCTAATGAGACTGATCAGTCTAAAAAGTGACCTTATGCTGTAATGACGTTGTCACTTTTGACAAACGTTTCTGAAGAAAATGATGCTGATGAAATTCTGTGAAGTAAAGAACTTTCCTAACAGCAGTCTTTGGTGTTATAAAACTTTATTAAACTGGCATGTAACAAACCCAATCTTTTCTCAATAGCTTGTATGCCTGGGGTGTGAACAACAAGTCAGCTGAAACCTTGCTATCCGTTACACAGTGTGGAAATAGAACATGCTTGTTCTTCGGCTGCAAGGAAAGGTTGAAATGGAAGATGACAGTTTCTACAGTTTGACTTGTAGGGATTAAGGTAATGCAGTTAATTTTTATAAGCGAGACAGAAACTTGAAACAAACAAACATCTTCACCAAGCACATTAAGTCTATCCTAGAAAGCCAAATGCAGGTTAATTCACTGAGGGTGGTGATTAGAGAGCAGGAGGGATAACTCGCCTGTACAGACCTTGCTGGAAGGAGGAACCTGGCTGAGTAAATGTCCCTTATAGATTGTGCAGGCGCTGCTGAAAACTTGAATTGAGAAAGACTGAAGTTAGAATTCAGCATTCATCCTTGATGTTTGCATAGCAAAAAAACCCTGCCACAGCTCTGCAGCTTTGTAAACCCACTTCCCTAGGAGATGATGGCTTGAATATTGCCTTAATATCTGGTTTCCATATTAATGTTCCCTACTCCCTCGGGAGAAGATAAATGGGCCATGCAGCAAAAACTGAACATCTGAGGCAAATTCTGAAAAAAATACTTCTGCATCTTGCATAGCTCTGCAGGGTTTTTGAGCTACCCACCATGGATCAATACCTAATTTGGCTTGTTCTTTGCCAAGAGCATAAGTGGAAAGCTAGGAACAGTGCCCATCCTTTTTAATAAACTATTTTACATGAGAGAAACTTCATCATGAGAACAAATATCTGCCAGAAGGCTTACAAAAATATCTCAATATGTTAAGGAACTCCAAATAAATGTTACTTTCCTTACTTTCCACCTCACCCCCAGCAATCTGGTTTGCTTCTTAAGTTTGCTTTTTGTTGTTTTGGGGTTTTTTTAGTACTTGTACACACTGGTAGTTAGAAATATGAGAGGAATTATTAGTCTAGAACTTGTGCTCATTGTTCTTTCTTTTTATGTAAAACATTAATGTAACTTGAGCAATTTCTACTTTTTTAGCAAATGTAAGACCTATGGTATTCTAGGAGGATTGTATTAGTTCTAGAAAGTAATTGCAATTTCACCAGCATAAGCTCTCTTTACTGTAGCAAGTTATATAAGGAATACATGCATTCTGAGGTGACATTAAGGAAAGATTTTAAAATTATTATGAGGACCACATAATATATTCCACTGTTCAGTCACGATAGTTCTGTTGCAGAGGTGTGAAAGTTGGAAAGCTGTTGCTGTAAGGAAAATGTAAATATGTAAGATAAGTTTAGAAGAACTAAAACAACTACAGTGGTGTCAGGAAGAGAGTTGTTTGTATTTACCATGAAGAGCAAGAGTAAAAGAGTGCCTAGGAATGTCAGAGAAGAAATTAACTAATGCCACTGTCAGCCAAGCTGTGGGCTCACTTGGACCAATAATTGATTTGAATTTCTCATTAGGAAACACCTTTGGTAAGAAAATGGCACCCAAACAGGAATAGGTAGCACCTACTCTTATGCTGTTACTGAGTGTGCTTAATGTCATAGTTCTACCTACCCACAAAACTTTGAGTGTGAATATCAGAATTTTTCACTAAGTTTCCAAATCTACACGGAAGGGTGTGAGTTTGAGGATTTTGCTTAGTAAAATCACCACGAGAATCCGTAAGAGAGATGCCTGATTAAGAAGAGACTGCCATACAGGTCATGGCTTAAGGTTTTATCTGGGTATTCTGGGGACAGAGGAGTGTGAGGATCCCCAGGTAGAATGTGGCAGTGTTGCTATTAGTAAGGCTTTGACCCTCAGTCTGGCACAAGCAGGTTTTACCTAAAACAGTATTTTAAGAGCACTGTAAATGTTTTTGAACTATGCAATGAGGCTAAACACCAGGACACACATATAAAAGACAAATATTTGAAAGCTAGAAAACTGGGTGAAAAAGACAATGAATACAGTTATGCATAATGATCTAAGTAGAATCTTAATTAGGACCACATACCTTAAGTCTTCCTTAAATGTTGCTAACTTTTTCTTTCTTTTCTGGTCACTTTCTTGATAAATGTACTTGCAACTGTAGGAACTGAACTTGAAGATTTTAGCATGGATGTATTTATCCTTTAATCTGTTTTAAAGATGACTGTTGCATATAACTAATGTGTACAGGCTAGAAACAGTCACAAAGGATTTATGAACATTAGATCCTAAGAAAGACTTTTAAGTGCCAAAAAGTTCCAAATTCCTAAGCCAGACACATTTTTCTGCAGTCTGTGAGACTAGAACCAGTGTCTCCTGCTGTCAGTGAATATCTACCTCAGGCAGTTCAGAAGGGAGCCACTGAGACTGTGTCTGTATTCACCTGAGCCCTGTGGTCCTTGAGCTCTTTTGAAATGGTATCTTTGCTCTTTTGAAGAACTGAGTTTGCTTAACCCTAAAAATGAGGCCCAGAGAAGAGGTGTCCAGTAATTGGAGTGTTTCTTGTTCAGGTATCCTTCCAAGAGAATGCTCATTACTCAGCTGTTGGCTGTGAGTGTGTATGCACCACTTACCTTCTCTCTTGATACCTTCACCTATAGAAAACAGTCCAAGTTACACTGGGCTAAAGAAACCAGAAGAAAAGTAGCATGAGTTTGTTGCTTAGTGGGTAGGGCAGTTGCCTGGAAATAGATTTAAATCATCTCAGGCACAGGAATCAGTCAAAACTAGTGTGTTGAATAGTTGGCAGTATTCACTTTTAAGTTTTGAAAGCAACTGTGTCTGCATGTCATGAGAAATCCAATACTCTATGTGCCTGTTGTAACATGACTTGCATGGCATTTAGATTTCCAGCTCCTGTTGTTTGGAAACCAGTTGATCAATGTCTGAACTGGGTACCTGAATGCCAGTTCTAGTAAACTGAAAACTGGAACTGCTGAAACACACAATTGGGATGCTGGTGCATTGGGAACTTTAAAGCCAAGAAGGTCTCTGTTAACAGAATGTATTCCAGCTTAGCAGCAACAGGGTTAAAGTTTCCAGGACCTAAACAATAGCTTTACTTGGAATTCAGACGCACAAGATTTCATTGGTCCAGGTGTTAACATCGGTTTCTGCACTCTTGTGACATTGATGAAACTTCTTTTTACTTCTGATGTGCAAAATCAGATCCTTTAAAAACTGCAAATACTGACCATGATGATTGTTCTGGGTTCACAAGGAACAGGAGTTTGGCCAACACTGTTTCTGGAGAAAACTGCTGTGGTTCAGAACTGAGTAGACACATACTTTACAGATATTTGACTCAAAAGCTCTTACTTTGTCAAATGCTTCAGTCTGTTTCCTAACTAGTTTTGCAAAATAGATTGGATACATGTGGATGATAGCTTTTCTATACTTAGATTTATGTATAATTATAAGTAGATAATAAATGAAATTTCATTAACTTTAGAAGCCAAATCTCCTATGCACAAAGAGCATGTGTAACAGACCCTTTTCAGACTCCACCCCAGTAGTTCACAATACAAATGCCCATTTAAGTTTTAGTCATGGTTCTATGTTAGTTCAGTGACAACAATTTTTGTATAAAGAGGTCCAAAGCTGACAAGAAAAACTGTATTAAACTCTAGGCTATTTCTTCTTTTTCCATTTCTTGCTTCTGATCATTGTCAGGTGTCCCAGAGTCTGCCATTTCATCAGCACTAGGGTATTCATTGGTTGCATTGCTTGATGGAACTGTGGTCACAGGAATGTTTTCTTCATTAGGTACCTGAACGTACTCTGCATTGGGCTGTTTCTGAGTCATTTCTCTGCAGGAAAACAGGATGAGGATTGTGATTTCACATGTTGAAACCCCATCTATGCTAGAGTCTTTCAAAAGAATAAGTCCTAGTAGTTTTGTTATCTAAACATTAACCCCCTTATTATTGTGACTCGGTTCCAAGAGTACCTGAAAAGGGTATGGCATCACTGCTGCTCAGACAGCAAGTGTCTGAGTATTAGATAATAAGACTGATCTGCATCACTATTCTAAGCAATCCTACTAGAATAAAATAGATTTTAGTATGTTAGAATGCTTGGCAAGGAGAGCAGAATGGGAAAGTAAGTGCTGGCAAAACAATAATAAAGCAGCTCCCGATAATTAAGCACTTTCACATGTAAAAAATATCAGATGCTAGTTAATTATTTCAATGTAGAAAGATTTATTAGGATCCAAACACAAATTAGATGTTAATGCTACATCAGTTGAAAGCAGAAATCAGGGGCGTGAGTGACAGACCACCTGTCTGCTTTAGCAGAATTCTGTATCAGGAAATCTTAGATCTGTGCTGCAGGGAAGTGTCCAGATGACATAATTTTTTTCTGGCCTCAGCTGCATGTATTCTGAAATATAGCACTGAACATCATGGGGCTAAATACAGTCTCTATAGTATGTGAGAGAATGCCTATGCTGAAAATTTGGCAATTTAAGGGGAAAATGAGCAAACAGAGCAGATATTTCCAGAGCAGGATCAAATTGGACATTCTGGGTTCCATTCTGTTGCCTAAACCTTGTGTCTCTTGCCATTTGAGATGCCTTAAAGTATCCCAAGCATGCATCTTGTAATTTCAAATAGAACTGAACATTGGAAAGAGGGTAATGGCAAGTTCTGTTACAAGAGCAACAGCCTAAAAGTCACAGAAAAGCAAATAGTCTCACTCTGGAAGTTTTCTCCACAGTTGTATTATTTCCCCTTCAAAAGTGTTTAGTGTAATTCCACTTTACTTTAGTTCTGGATTATCAGCAGTGCTTTACAGAAATAGTTGTCTCAAAATGAAGCAAACAGAAACTCTTACTGCATCTCATTACTTGATGACTTCTTATTCTTTGCCTTCTTGGTTAAGACCCAGACGATAACGCAAATGATAGCAGCTGCCAGAATTGCTCCAATTAATGCTCCAGCAACAATACCACCATCTGAGTCTGGAAAGAAAAAAAGATTACTTGACTTTTTAAAGATAATTACTGTAGCGAAATCCCATGGAAATTTTGTGGAGGAGCCTTTGGTAGAAAGCAGACAAGAAGACACTGGATTCAAAGAACTACAAATCTGACTGACAGATGTATTTCCAGGAGGGAGACCAAAGATTCTCTAGGAAGAAGAGAACTGTGCTTTTATGACCTTTGCTGTCTCCTTTCTTGTTAATTAGCTCCATATCCTAACAAAGCTCATGTTTATGCCTGGCTAAGGAAACACTAACCTGTCAACACTGGGAATAGAATCACAGAATCATAGAATCATCAAGGTTGGAAAATACCTTCAAGTTCAAGCCCAACCGTCTGCCCTACAACCCCTAACCACTAAAGCATCTCCTGAAACACCACGTCTACCCATTTCTTGAAAACCTCCAGGGACAGTGCCTCCACTGTCTTCCTGGGCAGCCTGTTCCAATGCCTCCCCACTCTTTCTGTAAATAATTTTTTCCTAATATCCAATCTGAGTTGAAAGCCTTTGCTCTTCCATCCTTGCAAACAAATTCTGAAATTCAGGTTGCCTTTATCTCTGTCTTTCAGATGTAAAATGTATGCTCTGATCATCTGCGAGCCCCCAAAACCTTCTCTTTCCACTTCATTACAGTCTCTAGCTCTGACCTGCAGTTTTCATTTTATAGAGCAGTGAGTAACTGAGGGATTATTTCAGGGACATCTCTCCTGGCTGGTTGTGCAACATATGTTCCCTCTTGTTAAAGGTTACTGGTTACATGAAAAACCTGCATGCAGATGTGGTTGACAACTGCTTGAGAACAGTCAGGGTAAGGTTGAACCCTGCTTGAGGGCAGTCAGGGTAGAGTATTTTTCCATGACTGCAGTATCTTTAGGCATCTACAGTGCCCCAGTCCTTGTACTACCACATTTCAGTGATGCTCGTCCTCAGTGGGACCTCAGTGGAAGTCTGAGCTGGAAGGAATTGCTCTAAACTCCACATTTTTCAGTTCTTAGGAAAGATTTTGCAGTCAGAGCCTGATTCAGCTCCCCCTCCCAGTTGGAAATGAAACTGGAGATGTTAAATGAGTTCTCTAGGTCAGTATAAATTCTTCGCATGTCTAGAGCCATGCTCTGTAAAGTTCTTAAAGCATTTTCCCTCAAACTGTGCATGTCAAAATCAAAGATGTGATTCCTTTCATGCATGAAACTTACGGTTTGCAGTTAGGTCAAGCTCACAGGTGCTGTTCCCCAGGACGTTGCTGGCTATGCACCGGTAATACCCAGTTTCAAAGGTGGTGAGGTTGCCAATGTAAAGAATGCCAGTGTTTGGATCTGTGACAAACAGAGAGCGGGTCCAGATTACTCTCTGGGTACTGTAGGGGCAGTAGAGGCAAGTGGTTTTCTTTGGTTGGAAATACTGAGTGTTACCAAGAGATTCAAATCAGGGTTCTATGATTATTCATTCACTTGGTGTTTTTATGTTCTTTAAATTAAAAAGTTTTACCTTCTTTGAAAATGTCTACAGCGGTTTCTTCAGGAGAGCAGCAGAACATGAGAAGTGTGCCCCTACCCTGCAAATCAGTCTGACCATCTGATGTTTTACCCACATTAGTATTGTCAGTGAAACTTCACGAATGAAAATGTAACGGGCAGTGAAGATTTTTGGAATGGGTGTCTTAGCACCTGAATGAGAAATTGACTTATTCTAAGTTCACTCAAAATTCAAAGGGAGTTCTAAAGGCATAAATATTTCTCCCATTTTGATAATTTACAGTAGTGGCACAGGCAAGACTTTACCATGCCACAGTTTTTATTAAAACCAAGTGTTCTGTGTATGTGACAGCCATCAGTTGATTTGAGTAAGTAAAATGATTTTGTGGTGTTGATAATTTTAACTGCCTGATGTGATACACGGAGTTTGAAATGGCTGGTACTGTGGAATTCCAGATCCTGAACACGGTATGGTGGTCCTGTGGTTACGTACTACGTTGTTCAGTCACAGGCTTGAGGGTGTCCCCATCCACTTTGTACCAGCGGTAGGTAGGGCGAGGCAATCCTTCTTCACATTTGCAGAAGAGGTAGATGAGATGGCCTTTTTCAGGCATGCCTTCTATTTTGCAGAAAGGTTTTGATGGTTTGACTGTAAAATAACAATGAGGAGAACAGACACACTTTGAGTACATACCTGGGCCTGCAAAAATCCACCTGGAGGTGGTACTGTGGCTTCTATGAGTGAGGAATTGAACCTTATCTACAGATTTCCATCTGAGAACAGAATCTTGCTTATGAATCTGACCAAAGACTGTCCTTTGAAGTTTTGAGTAATATTCAATATATGTACATAGGCTAGAATACTTTTTTTTCTCCCCATTTGCTTAATAATTATGGAGGTGTTGAGTTGAAGACTGTCACTTACTTTAATTATAATGAGCCAATCTCTATTGTCATATACCATTCTGCCACATAGCAACATAATTTTATCTGGGGACAGAGCAGGAGTTTTTCCACATAAAGGTCAAGGCTTGATTCTTCAGTATATTGTAGTTGTGGAAGAAAAATTAACTACAGTTCTATTAAAAATGTATATATTTTGATAGATAACATTTCTCACTTTGTACACAGAAGAAGATTCTGTCTTCACTCACATCTCTTTTTTTTCATTTCCTACCTATAGATATAGAGTACAGTCAGTGGTACTATACCAGCAATGAACACAGCCCAATTTTATGTGCATAAAGGAACAGCCTTTGTTGGTTTTCATGTGAAAAGTACAATCTCTTACTGAAATGTGCGAAGATTTACTATCTGTTTGGGGAATTTTAAATTACAATTGACAGTAATACTTTAATTTTTCAGGGATTCAGTTTCCATATGTATTTTTCTTCTTCCTGGCAGGTAGGCAAAGGATGTTGGAATCACATGATTATATTACTTCAATTTGTTATTCTGACCAGGTATAAATTCTCAGTATAAAAGCAATTATTAGATGGGGTTGATATAAACTTCTATCTTACTAGGAAGTGAAATATCTCATGCTACTGCTTTTCACCCTTTCTATCCTGCCTGTTCATGGTTGAACTTTTGCTTTCTTCCATCCAAAACAGACTTTATCCTACTTCCATCCAACACATACAAGTTTCTAGAGTTTCCAGGAATGGGGGTGAACCAGAACCCTTCCTTGGCTGTACTGATGCCTTTCTGATGTGAAGTCACTGTGACCAATATTAGGTAAAATTAGCAACATTTTGGTCTTTGCTGGGGCTAGATATAGTATCTTCAGAGAGAATTTGTCACTCCCAGCTAAAAGGTCTTTTTATTTTAATCAAAGTTAGTATCACTTTTTTTTCCTACCTGAAAAAATGTAATGAAGTTGGATAATTCCAGCTACCTGCTTACATTAGGTAGCTTTCTGAGAGCACAAAGTGAATCTGAAGGCCACTCCTGGAGAAATAAGATTTTACTGTAGGTCTCAGGTATGCTTTGTCTGGAAGCCAGAGGGCAGCCCAGGCCCTGCCTGCCTCCAGAGCCCTTTGCAAACATCTCTGCCTCAGAGTATCAGCCAGCCCCTTCTCTGTATCATGGGCCTTGTTTATCACTGTGCTGTTATTCCCTCTGCTCCTACATAGTTTGAGCCATGAATTCAGTGTTTCATAATAAGGGAAGAGAAATACAATACAGCAGCAGAGAGGAAAGGCACTTACCCAGCACATTGACTATCACAGATTTTTGGCTCTGTCCAGCATCACCCTGTGGGCTGAAGACTTCACAGGTGTAGGAGCCAGTGTCAGAGGGCTGCATGTTGGAGATCGTTATTGATGCATTCCCTGGACCTGTTGCAGCTGTTATCCTGTTCTTAAACTCTCCATAGGAGTAAGACTGGCCTTCTGAATAATAATAGATCTGTGATAAAGAATCAATTGTTAATTTGATAACAAAAGATCTGCTGCTGCTTTGTTTAGTACTCATAGTTGATTTCTCATTAAGCGAAGCAATGTCACCCCTTCTTGCTCCCTCCCCCGAGAAAGCAAAGATGAAAACACGGTACATTTGAATATATTTTTTCAGTACTTATTAAAATACAAGCTTTTCAGAAATGGGATTTTTAATTGTGTAAATGAAAAGTAGATATTTCTTTGGGGATACTGTAGTCACAGACTGATGCATTTATGAAAACAAAGGTGAGACCATTGACCATTATATGACAATTCTGTGAAAAATTGTTAAGCCATGCATGATGAATAGTGCTACTAATTGAACCACAAATGGTTTGTGATACCATTAATAAGCACATCAGTAAAAGATTGGGACAAGACTGGACCTGTCATTGCAAAAAAGTGGATGGCTGCAGAAATTTCCAAATACAGAAGCCAGCAAACAGAGAACTGAAAATAATCCAAAAGGCATAGGTCTAAGCAAACAAGGCACCTGATTTGTTGGCAGTAAATTTGGAAGCAATAAAAGTGCAGTAGGAGAACACCGGCAGAATCATCACACATGCAGTCAGAGAAACTGTGCAATTAGAGAACTGTGCTGTTGTCCTTGTTTAATCAAGGTCAGAGCCATCTTGGGTTTTTTAGTTTATACCATAGGTGGAAGTCAAGAATACCTGTTGGCCTCAGTGTTTGGAGGGGCACCTATTTAGATTAAGACGTTCTCCTTTTACTAAACAGTAAAAAAAGTTTTGCAGAATTAGAGACAGTAAATATCACTAAGGAATGCAACATTTCCTCCCAAATAAACTTTTGGTCTTTAACATTGATTTCACTGACTTCAGTACCATCAATAGTACTAAACAGCACTGCAGGAGTGGAATTGGCCTCTTAAGCTGATAAGCTCAAACCTGTTGCCTGCTGACTAAAAGGAGAGATGGAATTGTTCATTGTGGAGCCTGGTTGGTAGTCTGAGACTTGAGCCTTGAGTGTTTTCAGGAACTGCAATATCTCCTCTGCTCTGGGGTAAATTTAGTGATTATCAGGAATTACATGCGCTCTGTCCAGTCTAGCTCTGCTATGAAACCAAGGTGTGAAAGAACAAAGCTCATGTGGAAAAACTATGGAAGGTTAATTAATTTTTGCAGGTATTAATGATAGTATTGTGTGAAAATGCTAGTATTTGGGATGGCAGTATGTTCCCCAATGTCCACATGCACAAATTCCATGCTCTAGGCATAGTGAACAGTTCTAGTGTACTCTAGTACTCTAGTAATTTTTTTAAGTGGTGAGAGGTAACCTTATAGAACTACAGGTTGGGACCCAAATAGATCTAACATTGTCCCTACTGACAGGATTCCAGAGTCAGCAGTAAATGTATTCATTGAAGTTGGACTGACAGCATGTTTTTTAATGGGAATAACTGGAAAATGCTTGTAGAAAAAAGCTCCACAAACTTGTGAAATGCTGTTCACACCTGACTAGTCTCAAAATTTCCTTTTAGACAAAGATCCCTGCCTTTAGGAATGCTGCAAATCCTCAGGCAAGAAGTATAATTTGCTTTACTTTTCAGATCAACTGATTGCATTTTTAATTGAGAATATTTATTCTTAATTCTGTTTATCCACACTAATACAGTGTTGACTGAAGTCTTTAAGCAATGTTATCAGAAAGCCTTTCTTAGCTTAAGGCAAGGTACACCCCAAAGCTGCCAGAGCATGGCTGGTTTATGCAGTGATAAGGCTTTGAAGTGAAGGTCAGAACCCAGACTGCACAGCACCAGCAGCTCCATCCTACAGCTTGGCCCCGTCTCAAATGCGATTTTCCTGCTTTCCAACCAGGCTTTATCTTTCCTTGCCCAAGGGGTACAAACACCAGGTACAATTAATGCAGGGTTCTGAACACCAAAGCTACACCACTGCATTGTCAACACGTGGAAAACTGGCGTGGCAGTGAGGAAGTGTAAGATGTCCAGCTTTAGTGCAGCAGCAGACTAGGTTGGAACCAAAGTCCCTGAAGTGCTGGCTAGACTCTCCAGTTCCCATTGTTTGTGTGCAATGCCATCAATTTTAACATTTTATGCTAGAAGTCTAGAGATGGACCTCTTTTGCAAAACAGAGTCTGAATGCACACCCTCATATTCCCCAAGAATGAAGCATGTTCAAAATAAGCATTTTGGTTTAAGCAAATCTCTCATTAAAAAAATTGTAATTACAAAACCACACTGATCACAGCTGTCTCATACTACATTTATCCAAGTATGAGCAACTACAGAGTATTATACATGGTTCTTTGCAAGAGACTGAAGTTATAAGAACTGTGAATTCTGACTAAGTTGATTTCCCAAATAGATCTCAGCACTGATGGGCTGGATTTGCATCCCCTCTCAATCAATTGTGTCTGTTTGAGTAGGGCAGAGAAAGAGCTTCCATCAGCTCTTCATACTAATGGGAAATGAGCTTGCACAATGACTTAAGTAATGAATGACTTGTAGCAACATTAGAGAGAGGCAGGCCCATTATATGCTACTAAAAGGCCTGATTACTGAAAAAAGGGGCTAAATTATACTCAATCTACCTCTGAGTGATTTAGGGTTGATGTGAGAACGAACACTAGCAGAAGCTACCCATGGAGTGCTAGGTTAGCTATAGCGAGTGTTCCTGGGAAATGGGGACTGACACTACAAGTCTTAAATGCAGCCAGGGCATGCCAGTAAACATTAGATAGGAGCATTTGATTGAAGTCAGGGTGGATTATGTATCTAAACCCTAATACAATACACTGAAAAATTAATTCTGTGTTCTCTCTCTCTGTTTGAACTCATGCAGAAAGAATATTGTGTGTACACAATTCAACCTGAGGCAGGTGTGAGCACAGCAGAGAATACTTGTTTTCTTTGTGGGTTCAAACAGAATCTTTCTGGCTTGTTTGTTTGGGTTTTTTTTTTCAACTATGAACATAAAGGCAGTGGAACATCTCAAGGAGATGCATTCAGTTCCTCTGCAGGCTGCTGCCTATTCTCAGTTCTGCTTAGTTCCGGAGTTGAAGGAAGGAAGGTGGTAAACACCAAAAAGACTGAGTAATATTGTGATTAATTACTGAGTGTATATTGTGTCCCATAGGTATGATTGGATTGTGTACACAGGAAATTTAATTTAAGAGGAACATGTTTCAGTTAATTGGCTGTGAATTCATAACCCATTTTAAACAATACACTCAAAATGGGTATTTTAAATCCTTGGTCAAAGTGCTTTTATGGTCTGTGAAAAGCTTGTGTTTGTGCCTTTCAGAAAGCTGAAATGGAAATTGCAAAAATGTTTCTGTTCTGTTTCAAAAGGAAAAAACACTTTTCTGTTGAAGATACAGAAGACTTGTTCTTTTTGGGCAATTGACAGCTTATGTTCCCTCATTCAGATGCACATCTCATTCACATTTCTTTCCATTTTACCTAAAATATCCCTAAAATGTCTGTATGAGGAAACTGTAAATATAGTCAATGGTAGCCTTTTCCTGGAAGCCCTTTTAATTTGATGTGGTAAATATATTTAAAGTGCAACATCTTGAATGTAAAAAAATACAAGAGAAAATTCCACTGTGCTTCTCTTGAAAAATAAGCTTTTAATGTCCTCAAGCAAATCATGAGTAACTCTAGTGAAGCTGATAATTTACCAGTGTAAACAGAATATTGAGGATGCAGCAATGGTCACTTCTCTTTAGTAGCAAGTTTGTTCATGCGAGTTTGTAATATAATGGTGCCTTTTCACATTTCTTGGGAGCAGCTGCCTGGGATGACTAATCAAACAACCGACAGAAAAAAGAGCCGAGATTTTCACTCCTAAAAATGTTGTCCTTAATCACTCCACAATCTCAAAAGCTGGTTCTTGCAAAACAGCAAGTTGGCCAGAAAATGTTTCCCTGACCTTAGAAAGGATTGCAGTCTAGTTGGTTATTCAACCAAAAGCTGCTAATGTCAGCAGCCATCCCTCTTGGCCTCCTAAGGCTGTGGTGTAGTTACTCTGCATTTCCACAGTCTCAGTTTCTGCTGCAATCAAGAAAAGGATATGGGCTCATAAACTTCCAAGGCAGTTGAGTCAACTATTTTTGTTGAGCTGGGGGATCTGAGTTACAAATAGAACAGGGAACTGGGAATGATCATACTCATTTGGAAAAATATCTTGGTAATTTCAATGCACTCCAGATCCTGGAGATAAGATTATTTTTGTCCATAATTCTGAAGGATTTTCTACATGAAACCACATGTCCCTTTCTTCTCCTCACTTCTGGAAAGGCTGCTACTTTTATAATGTGATGGTGAGGAAAGTATTCTCCCGCAGAGGAAGTAGTTAGCAAAGCTGGTACCAAGTTGAGGATTTTCACAGGCTGACATGTTTGGCAGAGAGTGAGAAGCCCACCTACAGGTTTCTTTTATGCAACACATATAGAAGGATCTTCCTTAGAAGGTGGAGGTTGTGTGTGAAAAAGGAAGCAGTAAATTAGAAGAAACATGCATCCATTTGCTTAATTTCTTCTTGAGGCAGGACAAACACATACTAGAATTTGCATGAATATTTGTCTTTCAAAGACCTTTGGATGGACTCATTCATAATTTCCAGGTCAATATTCCTCCTACCCTTCATCTCTTGGTGTCACACATCACATTGCTTTACATGCCTAGCACATCAGGGCATCAGAACTGTAAAATGAGATGTACTTGAAGGTGTATCACAAAATGTTCCACTTGATTTCTACATCTAATTTCCTGACTGTTTCAGGACATGACAGTTTCGGGACATGACTTCCTTACAAGTACCTTCCTTACCAGAAGGGTCTTCCCTCCCGCAGACCCTTCTCACTTTCCCCTACCAGCAGGTGCAAAGCTCAAGCATCCTGTGCCATGACATTTCTCAAGGCTGATGTGTTCAGCACCTGATTCACAGTCTTTCCCTGGGGAGCTGTAAAGCTCAGGCATTC